CTGCCGTCCTTGCCTTGCCTTGCACTGGGGAGGCGTAGGCGCCACGGCGGAGAGCCCACTGCGGGTCACGGCGGCCGCGCACCGCCTCCGTCTGGCTTTGGTGCAGGAGGCCTAGTTGCGTCACATCCCCTTCCTCCGCCTGTCTGCCTTGATTCTTGGGTCCCACTAGAGGGTAAGCCTGCCCCAGGTGTGGCGCGTTGGTGTCAGAGTTTAGGAAACTCGCCTCCAAAAGAGATGCCTGTCATTGGAGCCGAGATGCGATGTGCGTAGTGGTGGATGGGGCAGGAGGGTTGGCTGGGAGAGGACGTTCCCACCGGGGCCCTCGCTGTGGCTTGTGGCTGGCGAGAGAGGCAGGATTGCCAGGACAGGTCCTTGGGAACAGAGGGTGCAGGCGCATCAATGGTTGGGCCATGGGGGCGATGAAGCCTCTCTCCTTCGCTCCCCAAGAGGACTTGCTTTGGTTGCTTGGGGTTTTGTTTTTCAGAGATCTTGAAATAATCTTTTTTTTTGTTCATTGTCATTTGTTTCTCAAACAGTTGAGCGCTTGCTGTCAGGAGGGCAAGCAAATAGAATGAATGGGAAAGGAGCTTGAACTTTGAAGTCAGGTCTACCACTGACTGGTGTTGGGACATTGGCAAAAGTATTTAATCTCTCCTCTCCTACTGGGTCTTCTTGACACAATGAACATACTCCTAATGACCTTGCTGGGAGTGGTCAGAACTTGCAGGGTCTAGCTGTTACTGGTAAGAACCCAGCCCTCAAGCACAACTTGCTTCCTGGCTGAAGGCTTCCCCTTGAGCTGCAGGGGAACTCTGCTATCTTGAGTGCTTGCTCTTCTGCCAGATCTGACAAAGCAGGCCAGGGAGGAAAGTCTTATTATGTCTCCTGTAGACCTCCTGGAATGCTAAGACTACCAAGAAATTTTAAAACTCCAAACTCACCACTGTCGAGTCGATGCCGGCACATAGCAACCCCACAGGACAGGGTAGAACTGCCCCGGAGAATTTCCGAGAGTGTAACTCTTTACAGGAGTAGAAAGTTCTGTCTTTCTCCTCAGGAGCGGCTGGTTGTTTTGAACTTCAGACCTTGGGGTTCTGGG